GAATAGTGTTGCTAATCTAAAAGAGGATGACCTAATAAACAGGGATATTGACACACAGGGATATTGGATTTATGAAGTTTAATACAACAGCAGTTGTAACACATGCATATTGCACAGAGATTGTTAAAGTTGGAGCACATGAATTTCAACATAAAGAAGGTCCAATTTGGTGCCAAAAGTAGGCGTTCTATGATTGCATTTTGGTTCAAACGGTGCCTTCTGAATGGACGAGAGGTCAATCGTTCCTGGTTGGTGTATTCACCTCTACATAAAAGAGCATACTGCTTTTGTTGTCTTTTTTCATCTACATGTGTGGCATCCAATAGTCGGTCTCCTTTCAAAACACAGAGTGGATTCTCTAAGTGGAAAAAAATTGAAAAGTTAAATGACCATGAAAATAGTGACAATCATTGTGAGTCATTTGCTGCTTGGAAAGAAATTGAGCGCCGATTTCTTCTTCAAAGTGGCATTAATGAAGAGCTGCGAAAGCAAATTCAGCAAGAAAAATAAATGGAGAGATGTACTATGATGGTTGCTGGATTATACACAAGATTTAGCTTCTCAGAATCTTGCATTTCGTGGTCATACTGAGGACATAACTTCAAACGAAAACCCTTAACACTTCCTGTCACTTTTCCAGTTATTAGCAAAGTATGATCTAGTAATAAGAGAGCATTTAGAACATGTTAAAAACAGGTAAACATCAACATCTTATCTTTCTCTTGAAATCCAAAATGAGTTTATAAATCTCATGGCTTCACATGTGCGAAATTATTGTTTGTCAGTAATTCATAGAAACAAATACTATGGTATTCTGTTCGATTCCACACCTGATTTAGCCCATCGTGAGCAATTGGCCCAAGTGATTCGGTTTGTTGACATTGACAAGAAAAGTAGAAGTCAAAGAGTCTTTTATTGACTTTAGACAGATAAAGGAAAAAGACGCTGCCAATATTGAGAAAACAATAAGCACAAAATTAGAACGGATGGAATTTTATTGAGTGATTGTTGTTCACAATGTTATGATAATGCTGCTGTCATGTCTGGTCATCTGTCAGGCGTTCAACAAAGAATTCTGAACAAAAATCCAAAAGCAGTGTTTATAAACTGTGACAACCATAGTTTGAATTTAGCATGTCTTCATGCTGCAAGTCAGGAAGCAACAGTTATTACCTTTTTGGTTATAATCGAAGCCATTTATAATTTCTTTGCTAATTCAACAACTCGATGGGAAGAACTGCAGCAGGAGCTTAAGATCTCCGTCAAGCATGAATCAGAAACAGGTGGAGTGCAAGAGAAAAGGCAATAAAAGTTGTACGTGAAACTGGATGAATTGCTAGGACTGTTATAGCAACTAAGTGAGAATGGCAACACGGCTGAAGCAAAATGTGGTGCTCATAATATT